GACCCAGAAATGGACCAGGCATAAAGAAAGGTTTTGGTAGAATAACCTTTCATTCCTCAAAGTCTTTATTAAAGAGGTGCAAGCCAGACAGAGATCACGCGCCAAGCAGCGAGTTTGGTTAACTCGCCATCTTCACCACAGGGACATAAAGTGTTTTTCTCTGAGCTGTGGGAATCTGGTTGGAATTCGTCCCATTGACAGAGGCCAGCGTTTGTAAACTGAAGATGGGAACAGAAGATGAGAGTAGCATCCTTCTGCCCAGGCACTGTGTCCTATAGCGCGGCAATTCACATCTCGCCTCCTGTTGCCTCCCAGAGCTTTGTCAAGCCAGTTAAATCATTTTTCCCAGAAGGACAGCCGTCCTTTTAGGTCCTGTTGCGGGAAAACCGAACAGAGAGTCTCGGCGTGCCACCTTGAACTCCGTGGTTGCTTTGTCTATTCTGAGGAAAGCCTTTTATTATTTGGCCAACTTTCGATGGATTCGTCCTCCTATCATTCTGTCTCGGGAGAAGTTCGTGGGCCGAGGAAAGCGCCGGACCGCATGTTGAGCCCAACTCATATTCTGAGCCATTGAATGGATCCTCCCAGTTTCAGGAACAAGGAACTTTTAAAGTGGTCTCAAGAAGTATAGCTGCGCACCGATACACAAATAAATCACCTGGGACCGAATATTTTAAGTACCCGTATTTTTCACCCCATAGGGCGCAACCGTCCCCCATAGGCGCACCTTAGGTTTTGTTTTGGGGGGGAATAAAGAAAAGAAAAAAATTATTTCTCCCCCCAGGCGCGGGGCTGGCGTGGGGGAAGGCCAAGCTTACCCCCGACCCAGCCCTCAGAACAGCCTTGCTTTCTGCAACCTAGGAGCCAGCGGGAAGTCGCGCCTGTCTCCCCAGAGCTTGCGGAGAACTGCGCGAAGCCCGGGCGCGTTCTTCAGCGCGCCCCAGGCTTCGCGGAATGCAGGCACAGGCTCTGCGCACCCTCGGGAGACCGGCGCAACTCTTCCGAGGGTTGCGCAAGAGACTTCCTGAAGCCTGGAGAGCGAGAGGGGTCGTGCGCACCAACCCCTCTCACTCTCCAGGCTTCAGCGAAAGCCTGCATTCGCCCAAGGTCGCACACACATTTTCCCCTTATTTTTAGGAGGGAAAAAGTGCGTCCTATAGGGCGAAAAGACGGTAAAATCAAAATATGGATTTCCTTTCCCCCACCCCTGCCCACACACACTTTCAAAGTTGGTCGTTCAACTTTGCAGACTTGCTTTGCTTTTTTGCTGCCTTTTATTTAGTGCCTTGTTTTAGGTAGGCTGGTTTTTAAAAGCAGATAATAATATAATAATAATAATAATAATAATGGGTGTTCCCTGTTCTCTGCCCACAGCATAAAAGGGCACAGTTTTCAGGATGATAATAAAAACAGCAACAAGACAATAGGCAATTAAAAATGGCTCAGGGCTATTTTAACTGGTGATCCTACCCTTTTGTGTGTGTTTCACAGCTCATCAAGTATATTATTTCTGTGCAATATTCACTTTTAGAACAAGGGCTTGCTAATAGCAACCACTGCAACAAGAGCCTCTATTCATAGGCTGCTTGGGATTACACTCGAACAGTAGCGGTTTGAAGCACCTTCTTCAGAAACACTTGGTGAAACAGGAGCGTTGACAACTTTTACTTGCGCTCCTGAAAATGCATAATAAACAAAAGCGATCAAGCTGTGCTTTCTCCAGATCTTTTCCCCCACCTTCCAGTTAAACAGCAAGCGTGTCATAGATCAGGTCTTATCGGGCTGTGTTCGTGGCGTCTACCCAGAAGGGACTGGATAAGCTCAGTGGCTAAGAACGTGGTGCAGGCAAATGCCAAGGTTGCAGGTTCGATCTCTGTATGGGACAGGCCGCATATTCCTGCTTTGCTAGATGGACTAGATATCCTTAGGGTCCCTTCCAATACTACAATTCTAATGGTTCGAGGGTAAGCATCATTGAGCTCAAAAGCACTTGATCCCAAATAAGGAGCAGCAATTGGAACGCCAGGTTGGTGCTGTGGTCTAAACCACTGAGCCTAGGGCTTGCCGATCAGAAGGTTGGTGGTTCGAATCCCCGCAACGGGGTGAGCTCCCATTTGCTCGGGTCCCTGCTCCTGCCAACCTGAGCAGTTCGAAAAGCGACTGTCAAAAGTGCAACGTAGAATAAATAGGCTACCGCCCGTTCCGGCGCGGGAAGGTTAAAACGGCATTTCCTATGCACTGCTCTGGTTCGCCAGAAGCAGGCCTTAGTCATGCTGGGCCACATGACCGCGAAGCTGTACGCCGGCTCCTCTGGCCAATAAAGTAAGATGAGTGCCCACACAACCCCAGAGTCGGTCACGGAACTGGATCCTAATGGGTCAGGGGTCCCTTTACCTTTTAAGGGAGCATGCAACTGAAACGCTTAGTCAATATACTCCTATTAACCAATTTACAAAATCTGCATATATATTGCATATGAAAACTAACAGGGCTTTGTTTGTCGTCCAGGAAGAAGCATGCCCTCTTGACTAACAGGGTTTTAGAAAGGGAGAAGGGCACATTTCTAACCAAAACATTATAATCAATAACGTAACCAACTTCTATAAACCAATCTTTGCAGCCTCCTTTTTTGAGGCTTTAAAGATGACACACCCATAAACCACAACCTATCCCCAAATGCCTATTATTTGCTATATGTTATCTTCTCTGGTTAAGGAAGCTGTTGACATTTTTTTAAGAGAGAGAAAAAATTCCCCATTCTTCCACCATGTGGCAGCAAAATACAGAAACTTTCTATGGTTTTATCAGCACCTTGGTATGTCTATTCCAGCTCTGACTTTTGTGATCAACTGGGGCGTGGGCGGGTGTGGTTCTCTTCCTTATTTCTGCATCTGCCCAGCTGTCAGAGAAGACTCTGGGGAAAGGTAGAAGGCTTTCTACAAAGTTACAGCTGGGCAGCGGAAGGGAGGATATTAGATTTGTTATATGCTTTGCATAAGGGTTGGGTTGCCAGGCTTACTGTGTGCCTTGTTCCTTGAAAGCTGCCTTGAGTTAGACCCATAGGTTAAAGGTTATCAGACGTCCCCGTTTTTCCGGGCACAGCCCCCAAATTTGCCAATCAAGTCCCCTGACAAAATCCATCTATTTAGTAGGAAGTTGAAAAGTGTCCCCAGATTCGTTGGGGGGGGGGAATCTTGGTAACCTTACCGTAAAGGTAAGAGGACGCCCTGACAGTTAAGTCCAGTCACAGATGACTCTGCGGGGTTTCAGCGTTCATCTCGCTTTGCTGGCCGAGGGAGATGGCATTTGTCCACAGACAGTTTTTCTCAGTCATGTGGCCAGCCATGACTAAACGCCGCTTCTGGCGCCAACGGAACACCGAAACCAGAGCAAGCGCACGGAAACACGTGTTTATTCTTCCCACCAGAGGCAGTACCTATTTATCTTACTTGCAGTTTGACGTGCTTTCGTAACTGCTAGTGTTGGCAGAGCAAGGGACCGAGAGCAAGGCGAGACTCACCCGTCGTCAGAGAATTCGAACCGCTGACGCGTTCTGATCAGCAAGTCCGTAGGCTCTGTGGTTACCCCACAGCGCCACCCATGTCCCTTTTTCAGCTGAGTAATAAGTTGTAATTCAGCAACTTCTATTTCCAAGTCCATTTCTGAAAGTTCTTTTGTAATAAGACAGCTGCTTTGAGATCCTGTATTGAATGTCCTGGTGAATGAAGTGTTCTCCTACTGGCTTTCTCTGTCATAGAATCATAGAATCATAGAGTTGGAAGAGACCACAAGGGCCATCGAGTCCAACCCCCTGCCAAGCAGGAAACACCATCAGAGCACTCCTGACATATGGTTGTCAAGCCTCTGCTTAAAGACCTCCAAAGAAGGAGACTCCACCACACTCCTTGGCAGCAAATTCCACTGTCGAACAGCTCTTACTGTCAGGAAGTTCTTCCTAATGTTTAGGTGGAATCTTCTTTCTTGTAGTTTGGATCCATTGCTCCATGTCCGCTTCTCTGGAGCAGCAGAAAACAACCTTTCTCCCTCCTCTATATGACATCCTTTTATATATTTGAACATGGCTATTCATATCACCCGGGTGGCGGCTGTGGGATAAAAGCCTCAGCGCCTAGGGCTTGCCGATCGAAAGGTCAGGCGGTTCGAATCCCCGTGGCGGGGTGCGCTCCCGTTGTTCGGTCCCAGCGCCTGCCAACCTAGCAGTTCGAAAGCACCCCCGGGTGCAAGTAGATAAAATAGGGACCGCTTACTAGCAGGAAGGTAAACGGCGTTTCCGTGTGCGGCTCTGGCTCGCCAGAGCAGCGATGTCACGCTGGCCACGTGACCCGGAAGTGTCTCCGGACAGCACTGGCCCCCGGCCTCTTGAGTGAGATGGGCGCACAACCCTAGAGGCTGTCAAGACTGACCTGTACGGGCAGGGCCGTACTTTACCTTTTTATCATATCACCCCTTAACCCCTTAACCTGTCTTGTGATTCCTGAGCAGATTTATGTCCATTTATCCAGAGTATAGGCGCGAGTATAAGGTAAATGTAAACGGGACCTGTGACCATTAGGTCCATCGTGGGCCGACTCTGGGGTTGCGGTGCTTCATCTTCGCTATACTGGCTGAGGGAGCCGGCATACAGCTTCCGGGTCATGTGGCCAGCATGACTAAGCCACTTCTGGAGAACCAGAGCAGCACACGGAAATGCCGTTTACCTTCCCACTGGAGCAGTACCTTTGTTCTACTTGCACTTTGAATGTGCTTTCGAACTGCTATGGTGGGCAGGAGCAGGGACCGAGCAACGGAAGCTCACCCCGTCACGGGGATTCGAACCACCGACCTTCTGATCAGCAAGCCCTAGGCTCTGTGGTTTAACCCACAGCGCCACCCGCGTCCCTCTAAGAGAAGCCAGGTAGCGAGGAAACACTAAACTGAAAACTGTGGAGAGACCTGGTCTGAATAGAGATATTGGATCCTTGTCTCATTACAACATGCTAGCATTGCTGCTGTTTCTCACCAGTCTGCAAAGGAGGAATGGGAAGGAAATGATGCACATGTGTCATTTGAAAATTTGTTTTGTAATTTGATAGCTCCACTCATTTCTCAGTTGCATCAATCCTGACACCACTATAAGGAATAAACAGTGAAGCAAATATTTTGTGAACCATTTCATTTATAAGCAGAAAAGCCTTCAAGCCTATATTTTTTTCTTCTGGTATAAGAACAAAAGGGTGAAGACTGCAAGGATACGTTGTCATATGATCAAGAACCAACAAAGTCTTTTTACTCAGAAATGTCATGGCTTCTCTATGCACATCCATGAAACATACACTACAATCTGCAAGCACAGAAACCCTGATGACAATTACACAACTCCTCCAATGTCCATGCATTCTTCTATACAGTGAACAGTCCTCTATCTGAAGGGCTGTCAGAGAACAGTTTTCTGTTTTGAAGTAGTCCCTGGCTTACATCTCCTGTTCAAAGATAAGCAGACTGTATCAAGCTCCTAGTTCTGAGATCTGGAGGGGCGAAGGGATAGCTCAGTCAGTGGAGCATGAAACTCTTAATCTGAGGGTTGTGGGTTCAAATCCCAAGTTGGGTGAAAGATTCCTGCATTGCAGAGAGCTGGATTAGATGATTCTTGTGGTCCCTTCGTACTCTACAATTCTGTGATTCTATCACCCTGCCAGCAGTTCTGCCACTATCTAAAATCCTGCAAGGCAGTCAAGCAGTAGCCACACACACACACCATTGTCGATCACTCTCCCTCCAGGAGCATTTGGCCCCATCCCTACATTTATTTAAGGTGCACCTTTTTCGCACAAGCCCCTTTGGGGTGGGACACTACACGGCTCAACTGTAACTAAGCTGCATATAGCCCACCCTGAGACAGCATGGGGGAGGGCAGACTATAAATACAAATAAGCAAGCAAGCAGCCCTAAGGAAGGGGAGCAGTTGGGGCCTGGAAGCTGCCTGTCAAAAGCAGGTGGGCAGCGACAGCAACCCCCACCCCCACTCCCATTACTGCGGGAGGGTATTTCTATCTCAGTTTGTCCAATATTTCCAAATTTAAACATCAACATACATACATACAGACAATATACAGTGTATATGTGTGTGTGTGTATACACATACACATATATACATATACATACATAGTTTTATGCCTATATATCTATTACCTACATATCTATATCTATCTGTGCGATGATTTTTGTCTCTCTGGTTGGTTGAATGTAAGTCGCTTTGGGCTGCCCTGAGCAGGATAAAGCAACAAAAACAACAAGTGTAAGCAACCACCCTCCGCCCACCCCCTCAATGCTCCAGCTACATAATAATAATAATTTATTATTTGTACCCCGCCTATCTGGCTGGGTTTCCCCAGCCACTCTGGGCGGCTTCCAACAGAACACTAAAATGCAATAACCTATTAAACATTAAAAGCTTCCCTAAACAGGGCTATGTTAGCTAAGTAAACACAGGAACACTCGCGGCCCACAAAACACAGCAGTGCCCCGGATCCCTGAAGGGGGTGGGACGGAGGTGGTGGAGGAACAACATCCCTTCTTCCCCTCCCCCCCCCGCTCGCTCCTTCAAGGGGTTCGCCACCGCGCGCGCGCGCGCGCCCCCCTCATTAAAGGCACCTGCGAAGCGGCCGCGCGCACAAATCTCCTCAGGCCTCTTTAGCGCGCAGCTGAAGCGGCCTCCCTTTCCCTTCCCTTCCCCCAGAACTCCCGCCAAAACCGATCGTTTGGGTCAATGGGCGGGACCACTTCCGTGTACATACGTATGTATAAGGGCGCGCTAGCAATACGAACGGACCATAGAGATCCGACGCCAGATTCCGTTCCCCGAGGGAGGGAAGGAAGGTGGGCGGGGGAAAGGACTGGCGCGTCACGTGCCGCGCCATATATGGAGATGTGGGCCGGGCCGGTCGGCCTTCCCTCGCCTAAGGCGGAGAGGCGAACGTCGTTTGCGAGAGGGAAGCGACGCGCGTGCGCTGAAATGTAAGCTCCTCCCCGTTCTCTGGATAGAGGAGGAGGAGGGAATTGCCCGCGTGAGAAGAGATTTGAGCATGCGCGCACAAAGTATTGCCGACCATTCCCTGCAGGCGCGGGTCGTGGGGCGCATGCGTGCGCGAGAGTGTGCCTCGAGTATTGAACTTGAGTTTTAGCTGCAGGCAGCGTTTTGTTAGTCATACGGGGCCGTTCGTCGCTTATTGGAAACGATGTAGAAATCCAGGCATTTTGAAACGTTCAGGGTTCGCACCCGCCACCCCAGTCCTTTTATGTTCATTCACACCAGGGCCGACCCTAGACACATTGGACACCTGAGAACCACAAAATGGTGCCTCACCCTCCCTGTCAGGGAAGAAGGTGTGAGGGAAGATCTGCATGAGGAACAAGAGCAGGGAATAAGGATCTATATTGGAAACAATGGACAAATAAATACCTGCATCATCATCTGTCCCTGTGGATCCTGCCGCCTGAGGCGATTGCCTCATGGGTGGGCCGGCCCTGATTCAGACTAATACTGTGAACTGCAAAAATACCTTTTGGGTGTTTTTTTCTTGCCTCCTCTTTTTTAATGTAATTTTTATTAAATTTTCAGTTTTACAATTTAAAATACTCGTTTTACATCCTTAAAATAACAATCACTTCCCTTCTCTTTCCGTGGTTCATTTTAAGTATCATTTTGTTGTTGTTGTTTAGTCGTTTAGTCGTGTCCGACTCTTCGTGACCCCCTGGACCAGAGCACGCCAGGCACTCCTGTCTTCCACCGTCTCCCGCAGTTTGGTCAGGCTCATGTTTGTAGCTTCGAGAACACTATCCAACCATCTCATCCTCTGTCGTCCCCTTCTCCTTGTGCCCTCCATCTTTCCCAACATCAGGGTCTTTTCCAGGGAGTCTTCTCTTCTCATGAGGTGGCCAAAGTATTGGAGCCTCAACTTCACGATCTGTCCTTCCAGTGGGCACTCAGGGCTGATTTCCTTAAGAATGGATGCGTTTGATCTTCTTGCAGTCCATGGGACTCTCAAGAGTCTCCTCCAGCACCATAATTCAAAAGCATCAATTCTTCGGCGATCAGCCTTCTTTATGGTCCAGCTCCTGCATATTTTACAAAAACTGCCATTCAGTATTCCATTATTGCATCCATCAAAACCTGTTTACGCTGCTGGATTTATCTTAACGCTCCCAGCGTTTTCAGCTGTACATAATCACACCAAGGAAGAGGAAAGCAACCAACCACCTCACATGGTTGGCATTTGTCAGTCTCAAGAGACAAAGGTGTGCGCCTCCGGGGGTGGAGGGAGCCAGTGTTAGCAGCATTGAAGTGACCTCCCTGGGGCGCAAGCCTGGGCAGTGTGTCTGGAGGTCCTGGGCTGCCCAGATGAAAAGACCCCCCTCTCGTCCTCACTTACTTGGCCCAAAGGAAAGCAGTGCAAGACGTTTAGCACCAGCTTGGCTGCAGGAGTTGCCGGAAAGAGGCATACAAGGCGCCATCCAACCTCCTTAGGGACTTAGGGTCTACTGCTCAGCCTTTTCCTCTCCTGAAGATGTCCCACAAGGCAGCAGGTACGGATTTTTCCTTCAATATAGTTGCAAGGCAGTTGAGGTTTAGGATCAGAGTTTTCCTCCTACAGCATGTGCAGAAACTGCCTTCTTGACTATTAGACCTGCTTTTGGTCTAATAGTCCGCTCAATCTGCCGGATCCTGTCTTTGCATGCAGGGGAAGTCCCTAACTCACCAAGGATTTGAGACCCACTGGCTATCCTCACCTGGTAGGCCTAGCTGGCCAGTCGAAGCCGTTTCCACAATGCCATGAGCTGACAGCTTATTGGAGCCACAGGTGAGAGCTGAGTGCAGGATGGGGGGGCCAAAGGTGGACAAACTACCCCAGAAGGCATGTCCCCCACCATGTCCTCCCTTAACACCCCAAACATCCCAACATAATAATCCATAATTACCCACAAAGGGCACATTTCTCTATTGCCTCCCGAGACAGATGGGTTTCTGTTATGTACTGAGTTAAATAGGATCCAAAAAGCAGCAGTCTGATTGGTCCTAGAACAATAGGATTCAGAATGCAGCAGTCTGATTGGTTCACAGGAGCCACCCAATCCAGCTCCAGGTGAAAGGGAATCTGCAACCTGATTGGCCTACAGCAGAATCCCGGAATTAGCCAATCATGTGGGGCCCATTGGGTAAGTAATGTATATAAGGCAGACATTCTGGGGGAACTTCCATTCCTCCTCACCACTATGAGCTGAATAAAGAGCATGAAATCCATTCTTGACTCCGAGTATATTTCAGTTTCCAACACAGGCAGTGGGGAAGAAAGTTTGAGGTTAAGGCAACAGATAGGTTGCAAGAGATTGTAACAACCTTGCTGAGTATGCATAGGCGCCGACTCCATGGGGCTTGAGGGGGCCCGAGCCCCCTCAAAAATTCGTTGGGGGGGGCTCTGCCCCCCCAATAATCTCCGGCGCCCCTCCAGCAGAGCGCCATCACCGCCCCTCCCCCAGCCCAAAATGCACAGGGAGGGGCGGGCTGCATGCCTCCTGCCCTCCCTCCCGAGCAAAAGCTCCACCCAATTTCCTTTGGAGCTGATTAATAGGCGCAGCACGCTCTCCCCTATTCGCTCACGAGGAGGCGGCGCCACTTTATTTGCATATTCATGAGCTTATTTATTATTCATGAGCTTTCCCGGCCCCCCCCCCCAATATTTTTTATAAGTCCGCGTCCCTGTGAGTATGTGTGTGTTTTAATGCATCTTTCTGGATTGGTTGGTTGGTTATTTCTTTGGGTAGCCTTGGGCAAGATAAAGCTATTAACAAATGTAATTATTATTAATAATAATCCTTATGTTGTGGATAAGGTGGAGGAGCCTCAAGAGAAGCTTGTGATAAACCTCCTTGCACTTTTTATTCAGCATTATTTTCAAAGATGGTTACGCACTTTCATTTGTTGTTGGTTTTTTAACTGAATAAACTGCTTTGAGGTGTTGGTGGTTGTTTTTACAATCAAGTGGTGTGTAAAATGTTTATTAAATAATCAGACACCTACATAAATTACTTAACATTGCACATGGAGGTGAGTGACACTGAAAGGAAGTAACACAGAAAGCAGTGTTGCCCCATCTACATCCACACAGATACATTGTGCTCTTGAGATGGAGATCTCATACATATTGGTTGGCAGGCATAATATGTATTGTTTTCGGCACACAGTTTTCCCAATGTACCAGATTTGTACAAAGGTCAGTAGAGTGGTTGGACCTGCTGAAGTGTTGGGGGCCCTGACTCCTGCTCAAGGCTGCTGAGGCAAGTCCTGTGGCTACCTTTTCCTTCCTTTCAGACAGGCACCAGGCGGTATGGCCAGCTCGCCACTGATAAGAGTCTGTGCAACAGGGACTAGAAAGGGCCCATTACTTTACTGTACAACAAATATCTGTAGATGAAGTCCAACTCTCTCAGCAGATTTGTAGCTATCCTGTTGTCGTGGCCCTGATTGTCATTGTAGAGTCAACAGTGCTTACTTGTACCAGAAGTGCTCCGCTACACGCATTATTGAGCAAAAGCAAAGGCACAAACTGACAATTAAACTAGACGGCAACAGGAGTAATCACTTGGGAGAGGAGCTATACAAGGGCGTACAGCTAACCTGGAGAGGGTCTCTATAGCAACAACAGTTTATTGAAAAGGAAGCTGCGAGGAAGGCAACATACTGAAAATTACATCATTCTACTGGGAAAGGAAAGCTATAATTTTGTTTTGGGCAATTTGAAATAAATAGCTTCCTGTTATTGGGCACAGTAGCGGCATCCTCTGTTGAATCAGACCAAATCACAACTCAAGGGCAGCAAAGGGTCAGCAGTATTTGTGCAGTGTGGCACCTGTCTTTAAAAAAACAAAAACACACACACAAGAGTTGTTTTCTGTACAGTACAAGGAGGGGGGTGTTACTTGTACAGAATGGATTGATTATAGACATTTATTTAAAGAAGAAGAAGGAACAGGTTGTGGAAATTCTGGGTGTATAGAATTGTCTTCACAGAGTTGAAGGGAAGCTCATTTGCTCTGGCACAATATGCATCTGGCTTTCCGTGAATTATTTCTACAGAACAATTTATCACACCCACCCTCCGTTTAAAATGAATTTGCAGGGCAATCCTACAGTCTCTGTACACTTGCAGCTTAGGCCTATACAACAGAAAGATGATTCTACATTCTCTCAGCAGTTGTCAGGTTTGTTTTTGGTGTTTCTTTAAAAAATAAAAAAACCACTAAAAGGGCTGACCATTTGGCTTCTGTGATTTAAGTGACAAAATGTATCACTCCAGAATACATGTTAATTATTGCATGTGCAATTAATTATATTAATTTACAAAGACCTGAACAACTTTTGTCCAGGGTTCCTTAGGAACCACTTAAACCCTTACATCCCGGTTTGATTGCTGAGAGCATCTGCAGGAGTATCCCTGGCCTCAGGTCTGAGGCTCCAGAGAGCTTCAGAGCCGGCAGATCCAGCCTCCATGGAGTGCGCCACTCACAGCCTTCTGCCCCTGTCTTCTGAAACCATCTCCTCCTTCACTGCACGCCTGCCATGCGCCCATCCCCAGAAACGCAGCAGAGGATGCAGAAGATGGCATTTTCTGTTTGGCCCCAGCAGCAAAACGTCCAGGGCCAGCCTTGCTCCCTTGAATTGGCAATGCTCATTTGGTGTAATTCACTTATTTGAGTCTTTCTGTGCATGTTTTATGATGGAGGAGCCTTCAAAGTATGCTGGTAGGTGGAATTCTGATTAAATACTCTATCCAGCTAA